ATCATTATCCAGATCATTTCCACTAAACTAAAAATACTGCACTCTGTAATGAAATAGTTTACTTGTTGGTGTCACCCTACAACCCAATAAAGGAAAACACAACAGAAACTTCTTTTTTAAACATCTTCACTGATCAAAGACATAGAACTAGACATTTTTAAGGTGGCTTATTTCTTATAAAAACATAGGGCCTTTTAAATGTGAAAATCCAAAAGGCTGAAATGAAGACATTTGAATTTCTCCGAATTCAAATATAATTCATGTGATCATTCATTCTATCAGTGTCTGAAAACAATCTTATGAATAGATACTATAATTATCCCACTTTATAGGTGAGAAAATTGGATGGAAGACATGTTTTTAGCAAGACTCTAATATTACCAGTTTACAAATTGAATCCTGAGAATATGTTATACTACTGATATAATTCTTATCATGGCCGTGTCATTGCAGCAGCTAACATTTATTCCAAGTTTCATGAATGCTTGACATTGTTCTAAGTGCTTTACAGATCTTAACTCAGTCCTCCAACAGCCCTACAGGTTGGTATCCTTACTCTCTTTCTTTTCTACATGAGGAAATTAAATTAAAAGATAAATGCTTTTCTTTTTAAGTTTATTTTTAGAGAGAGAGAGAGTGAGTGAGTGAGAGATGCGAAGGGGCAGAGAGAGGGAGAGAGGGAGAGAGAGAACTGTGAGATCTCACGAACTGTGAGATCATGACCTGAGCCGAAATCAAGCGTTAGACACTTAACCAACTGAGCCCCTCTGGTGCCCCTCATTAAATCCTCTTTTAAACTTTTAGTTCTAAAATATGTTAAAGCAGAATAATTTTTGGGGGGTGCCTAATTTTTTAATTGAGATTATAAAAACTCCCTTTATATTAGAATTTTTTTTCAAAATACCTTAGGTACCAACTCCAGTAAATATAATGTATATTTGGATGATATAAGTAGGTTTTTGTAAAAATTTTTTTTTTCAACTTTTATTTATTTTTGGGACAGAGAGAGACAGAGCATGAACGGGGGAGGGGCAGAGAGAGAGGGAGACACGGAATCGGAAACAGGCTCCAGGCTCTGAGCCATCAGCCCAGAGCCCGACGCGGGGCTCGAACTCATGGACCGCGAGATCGCGACCTGGCTGAAGTCGGACGCTTAACCGACTGCGCCACCCAGGCGCCCCGATTTTTGTAAAAATTTTTAATGTGTATCTATTTTTTAGAGACAGATAGAGATGGGGAGGTGGGGGGGCGGGGAAAGGGCAGAGACACACACACAGAATCTGAAGCAGGCTCTAGGCTCTGAGCTATCAGCACAGAGCCTGATGTGGAGCTCGAGCTCATGAACTGCGAGATCATGACCTGAGCCAAAGTGGGACGCTCAACTGACTGAGCCACCCAGGTGCCCCAATATAAGTAGGGTTTTGAGTTTCTTAAAGTTTATTTATTGAGAGACAGAGAGAGCGTGAGCAGGGGAGGGGCAGAGAGAGAGGAGAGGGAGAATCCCAAGTAGGCTCCACGCGGTCAGTTTGCAAAGCCCGATGCAGGGCTTCAACCCACAAAACTGTAAGATCATGACCCTGAGCCAAAATCAAGAGTTGGATGCTTTTCTTTTCTTTTTGTTCTTTTTGAGAGTATTTATTTTTTTATCTAAATCAAAATTGGTGAACATACAGTGTAGTAATGATTTCAGCTATAGAATTTAGTGATTCCTCACTTACATAAAACACCCAGTGCGCATTCCAAAAAGTGCCCTCTTTAATGCCCATCACCCATTTAGCCCAACCCCCCACCCAACACCTCTCTAGCAACGCTCAGTTTGTTCCCTGAATTTAAGAGTCTCTAATAGTTGGGGCATCTGCGCGGCTCAGTTGGTTAAGTGGCTGACTCTTGATTTCGGCTCAGGTCATGATCTCACAGTTCGTGAGTTGGAGCTCCACAGCCAGCTCTCAGTTGACAGCGCAGAGCCTGTTTTGGATTCTCTGTCTCTCTTTCTCCCTCTGCCACCCTCCTCCTCAAAAGTAAACTTAAAAAGAAAAAAAAAGTCTCATGGTTTTCCTAAGAATTGGACGCTTAACCAACCAAGCCACCCAGGTGTAGAGAGAGCCGCCCTCTCTGCCCCTTCCACATGCTCTCTCTCTCTCAAAATAAGTATTTTAGAAAATCGAGGATTTAATGAAATATAAACAAAGAAACAATAAGTTGATTTAGGTAATATCAATATTCTATTTTATATCAATTCTTATTTTATAATCAAACATTTACACTAGTCAGAGTTTTCTAAAAATACTCACTGAATAAATTTCATTAAAAAATATTTCTAGTACCCTCAGTTCATTTCTAGTACCCTCAGTTTATTTATTTCTAGTACCCTCAGTTTATTTATTAAAACCTATGGGTTCTTTCTGTAAGATATAAAAAATGAAAATTTACACACATCCCTGTTGATGGCGTATTAATAGTACAAGCAACGTTTGAAGGCTTGACACTTTTGGCACATGGTTATTCAGTTTTTCTCCATACACAGACACCACACCTCGTTGTCAATAAATAATTCCACTTTAATGGCAAAGTAATAATTTAGACAGATACAGGGTGCACGTTTGCAAAAAAATATATGCAAGCTGGTTTACAAGCTAGAGGAACAATAAACCAATAGAAAATACATCATCCAGTTAAGTCCATTGACACCAAGTACTTATTGTCGGGGCTTTACAAAGACTACAAAACTTTTCAGATGATTTATTTCACTGTTTCTGCCTATTTACATGATATGTTACATCAAAAATGTACAAAATATAAAATGTTTACAGACAAATGTTTCACAAACTAGTTTAAGTTGTAAACTAGGTGAACCTACTGGGATGTATTGCAGGGATTTCTGTTTATGATCATGTTTGGACTGTGTTTCTCGAAATGGCAGGGAAAGATTAGCAATTGTTTTAGATCACGTATTATACAAGGGCAACTAGTCACTCATCCAGCTACATATAGTGATGTTTCAAAACAGCTTTGATCCATGTTTGAGGCTTCAAAGTCAGGGTGACAATTCTATGTGCATAAATTCGGTTCAGATTTCCCTTAGGGCAATAGCACCGGGTAGGACCTAGAGACTTAGAGACACTCTGAAAACTGCACAGATGTCTTGTGTTGTTATTGTTCTAGAGCAACTGACCCACGGGTGGTCACAGAGAGTAGCACCAATTGCACCTCCTGAAAGCAACATATTTTCACGTGCATAGAACAAGTCTACACCATGGCCTAGCCCTTCGGTTCTAAAAACTTAAAGACCCGTCCTGTGTATGGTGGTAACTTCTCCAATGATTCCCATCAGTTTTCATGCACTCTCTTTAAAGCCTGCCACAACAGATGCACTTTTGGACATTTTTCTTTTCCAAATACGTATTGGCTTCATGAACAGTTTTGAAGCATGCTCACTCTAGCACTGATAGCTCCTGCATAGTCATAACAACTGTAAGTACAGGACAAACACGCCGGATAATAACAGCTTCGAGGGTTTGCATTCTGTATTTGTTCGCAATGTACAGGAAATCTCAGCAAGCGAAACACCGCTTAACACCAACGGGATAAGATACATTTTCGTGTGTGTCTGTTTGGATTTGTGCGAGTTTTTAAAATGATTATTTACAATACCTACCCAGTAGACTGTGCAAATCTAACCTTCTTTTACAGTATAAACGCTTCCTCTTCCACAGTGACTACACTGCTTCAGTGTTCTTTAATGCTGAATTTCTCGTGTACGACAATAGCAATCGAAACAACATGCTCAAAACTAAGAGTAACAGTAATAAGAAGAAAAGGAATCGGGGAGGAAAGCCAGACAGTTGTGCTCATGTTGCATCTCCAAATCTCCCTCCTTCTAAAACTCTCTTGCCTATAACTGGATGGAGTTCAGCCACATGTCTTCGCTTTTAAGTGACGGTCAGAGAGGGTTTCCGGGTTACTTGAACATTTTGGAGAAAGGGCAATCTAAACACCCCAGGTAAAAATACTGATTTTTTTTTTTCTTCTAACCAATTCTTCCAAAAAAAAAAAAAAAAGATATATAGAGATGAGGCTATTGTATTAACTGGCATTGCTTGGTTGTAAATGAAAAGACAGTGGAAATTACCAGTGGTTTAGGATTTAAACCAGCTGTTAAACTGTTGTAGAAATCTGTTTTAAGGCAGTGAGACAGCACCATAGGAAATGTTCCTTCTTTCACTGAAAAGGCTCAAACGAACGAAGCCCTAAAAAAGCCTTTTGTCAGTGTCGACTAGTAATTGGTATAAAACTCTTGTTAAGGGAGTGGGCAGGTGGTTTACAAAGACCACTGTGGTAAAAACAACCTTATAAAACCTGTGACTCATACACGGAAAAGTGCGCGGAGCACATCGTGTGAACGTGGCAGTTAGGAATCACATTGGCACGTATCCAGCTCGCCGCAGTAGTGTTTTCCTGGCGGTAGCACAATTCCCTTTGTGCTGATGGAGGGCTGGCCTCGCGGCTGCATTTTGCAATGGGGTGAGCGCACCACACGAACACTACTGGAGCCCTGGGACCAGCACCATGTGGCACAAAGGAGGCTGGACGGAGAAGGGGCCCTGCCTGGGGAGGACGGCCCGTCAGAGGAAACGAAAGGAGGGGACAAAAAAAGGTCTGCACTGTAAACTTTTAAAGAGGAGAAAAATAAAGTCCAGTTTGGCTATCCCGTGTGCAATCTATTCGGTTGCCCTGTCATTAGGGTCCTTTCCAGTTGAGCAGTGGAGCCGTACGTCACTCCACGGATATAAAAATGCCTAGAAACAAAATAAAGTTAAGCTCCCATCTCAATTTAGCATCTTGGCGGTTCAGACTCGGTTCAGCTGCCTCCTTGGAGACCACAACTCTGGGTCAGGGCCCCTGACAGGGTGCTTTCATACTGGCAGTGGTTTAGTGAAAATACTTTACTTTTTACACATTTCGAAAAAGCATGAGTCTCTTCCCCTAACTTTTTTCACCCTCTAGAGAGTAGATTCGAGAGATGAGTCTAAAATGTCTTCTTGGTGGCTGGTGCTATCGCTGTCACAGCTTTGTGTGCCCGAGTAATTGGCTGCTTCTTGGAGTTTCATTAGCATATTCATCTGAAGAAAGAAAAAGAGACATCCATGTAGGCAGTGATGCAGTGAGCGAGCCAGCCCCACAAAACACACGGCCCTGAGCCACACGGAGGCACCGTCTCATCCCGTCCAAGTGAAACGGGAAAACAATCTGAGATTTTTATTAGTTGCCTCCAGCTCCTACACGGTTTCTCCCAAACACGGCTACGCCACCAAACCATAAGGACAAAACAGGGCCTCGAGACAGCTCTTTTATTTGGGGTCGTGAATGAATACTGCTCCAGCAGGGCGACTGGGAAGGAAACCCTATCACAGCTGGACATCTGGGCTCTTTGCTGGAGAGTTCGCCAAGCTGCCTAGCTTTTTGGCGGGGAGAAGCAGAAAGCATTGAATGGCAACGGAAAGTCGTGAATGTTCATACACACGCAGACGCGCACACTGGCGCCCACTCGCGCTCCCCTGAGAGAAGGAGGGGACGGAGGGGGATGAAGCCAGCTGCCGCACTCAAGCACACCATCTGCTGTTCAGGAGCTGACCTCCAAGGAGGTGAGTGAATGAAGCCGACCATGAGTGTTGGAAGAGGGAGAAGGAAAGAATCCCTGTCAAGTTTCTGACGTTGTTGCAATTTCTGGCTAAAATATGATTGCTACGCCACTGAAAACAAGAGCCGCCTTCTGGAACAGCAGCAGCTGTCTCAGGTCTCCCAGCTGATAGGACAATGGCAATATGTGTTCCAGTAAAAGGGGCATATGCGTGAAAGCACCTGGGGAGAAAGACAGCTAGCGTTTCCATGTCTTACAAAATAAAAGGCAGCCACCTTGCTTGGCTTGTGGTAAGATCTGCAGACCCACTTTGGAGACAAAAGAAAAATTGTTTAAAAGCAAATTGTGGATGGATTGTGCAACCATCTGAGAAAGCGCAGAAAAACTGGCACCTGTCTTCATGAAAGGAGTGGACTTGTTTTCTTGTCAAGGGATTCTATAAATTGTAATCATCTTTCTGTTGTTTAATGCAGACTAATGTATTATTTTATAAAGTCATCAAAGTTGTTCTTTTTTTTTTTTTTTCCAACCTAGAGAAATAGAGAATCTGATCCAAAAGAAAAAAAATCTTAAAAAAGGATCCCTTAGTGATACGTTAGGCTATGCATGCTTGCGGGCTCAGTGTAAAATGTGTGTTCAATAAATGCTTTTGAAATAAATGATAAACTGATAATCACCAATTACAGCAAGTATGCCTTTCTCACCCCAAGAAGTTCACAGTTTATAGCACATTTTAAAGTCATTTTCATATTCTTCAGGACAATATTTTTCAACATAATTGTTAGTCTAACTCTCTGAATTTATTCAATCAGCTACATACAGATTTGAAAGTAGTGACAATCTCTCAAACCCAATAAGGCAAAAAGCCAAATCTCCATCAACGCTTCCTCTCTCTGTCTCCCTCTCTCCCTCTCTCTCTCTCACCCACACACCCTAACCTCCATTCACATTCATACTGTCTCTCTCCTTTCTGGTGTCAATTCCTCCCACATTAGTCGCCAGCTGTATGTTCAAGCATTTGAGTAAAGAGAATTTGTGAAATGCAATTGTGTGTTGAGCGTCCTCCTGATTTACTAAGAGTAGAAATTGTAAATGAAGTCTGTTTAAAGGGTTATTATTCTATCTCACTCATAAATGTTTCAAATCGCTTGAATGCTGAATGCTATAAACGTTTTATGATATAACCGAAGTGTTATTAAAGTCTCAATCTATGAAAATTGTGCCATATAGTAAATACATTTTGTTAGAATAAGTTCCAAGTCTCAGATCCATAATAAATGTACACAAGGGATTTACTTTGCTTTCTCACAGTTCAGGTCAAAGGAGATTACAAGAGGGGGCAAGGTTACATCTGAACCAATAATCATGGGGATAAATCATTATTTTCTGCACAAGAATTTCCCTCCTCTCCTCTGCCTTGTCCTTGGTCAGGTCCTTATCACCCCTGCTATTTACAAATCTGCTGGGCTCCCAGCCTCCAGCCTCTCTCTTTTAATCTGTCCTCTGTTCTGTTACCAAAGTGATCTTTATAACTTGCAAATCTAGCTAAGGTAAATTAAGTGCCCTGCGCCCAAACACCTTTGGTAATGCCTCATTATCTGTGTGATTCCTTCAAAGATAAAAAAGCCTTGGGCATAATGTAGCAATTGCAGACTTTTGTAGCTTCAATTGTTCTTGCCCCTTTTGTTCTAATCTCACCAATCTGCATATAGCTTCCTAAACTCATCATTTTTATTATACTGTTTCACAGTTCCCCTGCTGCTTCCTTGATCTTGGATGTTCTCCAGCCAACCTTAATCTTGGATGTTCTCCAGCCAAGGATGAACTTCTATTCATCCTTCCAGATGCAGCTCAAGTATCTCCTTCTCTGTGAAGCTTTCTTCTAATCACTTCCTCAATGGACTCACAACTTCACCTAGCATGTGACTACTATTCTTTAACTATAATTTATATAAGTAGACATCTCTCTCCACTAATGGACTGTGAGCTTCTTGGGATCAGAAATGATATTTTATTTATGTCCTGACCACCAGGTCTTAGCCCTGAGTACATACTTATTAACACTTATGGAACTATGAATGAGTTTATTGATAATGAATCAAATACTGGGAGATGCATCAAAAACCTGAATCCTTGTTCATATCCAAATATGTATTTCTGGCATTAAATAGTGGATTTTTTCCCAAATACTTTTTATTTAGATTGGACCACAAATATATTTTACTTGATGTTAGTAATTATAGAATTACAACAAAATAAAAGCAGACCAAGAGGATATTTATTTTTTTATCAGAATATGCCTGATCCAAGATTTACTTTTAGATAAGTCTTCTATTTAACATTTCATAATCCCTGTTTCTTAAGATATTTAGTTGAGCAGCTGTTTAAGAATCAGATTTTTTTTAACCCTAATTTTCCCTCAGTATGGGAGATTCTGGACCTCTTTTCCACACTAGAAGACAAGAGCACTTAGAGCCAGGGAAGATTGCAGGGTTTAGCTGATGAGGAGTGTGGGAATTGGGAAAGCTGAGGGCATAACTTACTCTACAGTATAATTCTCAATACAAATGCTATAAAACCTCTCCCTACTGCAGACACAGTCTATCAACACTACAAAGGTAAGACTAGAAGTAATAAAAAAAATTCATATGTGATAACCCATACTTGTACTCTAAAGCTTATATTTACTGTTAAATGTTAACCATTCTGTAAGCAATTAATTAGTGTATGCTCACAATTATGTTGCATCCAAACCAATCCCTCTACCACTGTTGATTTCAAGCTATGTACAAGCTAAAGGGCCAGCTACCTGTAATAAAAATACAAGTCTAGGCCCTTAAGGATTTGATGGTCTAGAGCAAAAGTCCAATATAGGAAGTCCTATGTAGGAGTCCCCCAGACTCTAAGCAGGTCTATAAGTGTACTTCCATGACTCTATGGAAGCCTTTGAAATAGTATGCAAATTTTCCTGTGTGTGAGTGCACTTTGCTGGGGAAAAGATCTTAAAAATCTCTGAGGCTGTTCACATGTAACCCCCAAAATGTTAAGAATGGTCATCTGGGATGATAACGTTGTATATGTATTGGGGTTGAGGGTATAGGAATATTCCAGAAAATATCAAGTCATTTTATGTTCTTGGGTATAATCATAGGTTATGATTTTTAATCATTTTCTTTTTTGTTCATTTGTTTTAAGTAGCAAAATGGCTTTTTTTTTCAGTATCTTTTCTTCCTGTATGGAATGTGCAAGTCCAGTGATTTCTTTAGAATGGCAAGCTAATAAACACACTACATTTGATACCAATCTATATAAATGCATCTACAAACATAAAAAAATAAATACATAAAGATAAAATATTTTCCTAATAATACCCTTTACTTAATATTTTCAGAGTACTCATACTTTGGAGTTTTACTCATCTTTATGAAGCTACACACAATTGCAAATTAAGCAGGACAGGGAGAATCAGGGAGAATAAGTCCCCTTTGATTTCCAAGTCAGTTTATTCTTTACCACAGGCAACAAAAGACTAATTCTAAATTTAGTCAAACTAGTTGATATATGTAAAATATTCTTTAGTTCTCCAAGTGTATGTTACATTATTTTCTTTTTTAAAATTTAAACACAAAATTCAGTGTTCTCTTAAATACCTAGTGAATTGAGTCTGTAATGTTGAAGATTTATTAATTTATTTACACAGTTTTACACCTAATAAGATAAAAATTAGGGTCAAAGAATACGGCCTAGTTTTAGAGTTTCTTGATTTTTAAGCATTCAAGGTTGGCCTTTAAGAATTTCACCCAATGAAAGCAGGCCAAAGGTAAGAGTTAAAACTAAATACCTATATCAGGACAGTACCAAATCCTACCTAAGATAACTATATCCTTGGTACAAATGACTAAATAGTGATGACCACACACTGTAATTAAACTTATATTAGAAGGATCACACGTCAGTTTCTTACCAGAGGATCCCCTTCCGTGTCACTTTGTGGAATGTGCTTTGAGGTTGTGGCTTCCTTAGTGGCTATGCAGCCTTCGTACCCAACATCTTCTGGTCGCAACTGAAGTAATGCTGGACCATCCTGAGGCAGAGACGCTGAGCTCCATGGGTATGTGTCAAGCACCCACTTTGAGGGGTCTTCCCAAGGTGCCCGTTTCCCATACATCTAAAAAATGGTTACATATTTAATAAACATAAAATATATTTCTATTCAGTAAAACAGGTGACACTAACTTACTGATTCCTTTGCACCCTGAGTTCTTAGGGGCCTTTCAAGCGGACTGTGTCTGTGTACAACTTTTCAGATTATAAATACACATCTGTGTACATATCTCTCTCGAAACTTGAAGGAGAAACAAAATGAAGGCTGACCATTTGGGCTAGGTGGTGGTCACCATTTGGGAGACAGGGTGAGGGAGGTTTATGTAAAACGCATATAAATATCACGGCGCACATTTATCTTTATTAGTAATTTTATTAACCAAAAGAAAACTCACAGCTGAGAAAGGAATGTTCCAGTGAGGGAGAACTGAAACAAGGCATGCTAGACAGTAAACAGAGTTCTCTACTAAAGTGCACTTTGGGAAGATGATAAATCAAATAAGAGACTTTTTCTCTGTCAACCTCATTCTACTCAAACTTTCTTTGAAAATAAGGATCCTTTCTCTGATAGCCATTTTCTTTGGATTAATTTCCCCCAATAATTTCATTGTTCCCTGTAAAAACTCTTTTTAGATATATATTTATAACGTCAGTGGTAAAAGAAGAGAAAAATGGGAAATGGAAGGACTCAAGTGGAAGGAGAGTCAGTATGAAAGAGATAATAAAGCCTTGTTAAAGTACTGGCAGTGGATTCGAGGGGAGAAGACGAGTACAAGATATGCTAAAAGTTTTTTAAGCTGGAAGAAAAAATGAAACTATTAAGAAGGGCACACTGAAGAGAAAGGGGTAGAGGGGACTTTGTAAACAATCACAAGGCCGCAGGGGGGACAGAAAGACAAGCTAAAATGAAGAGGAGACAGCAGTAACATGGGCAAACTTGTTCTTTGATGTACTTCCCTTTCCTTGACCTGCTCGACTGAGGGCAATCCTGGTTACCAGGTGCATATTTGGTCCCAGATAGCATACTGTGAGCTGTTCTCTATGGCTTATTGTGGTTCAGTTAGACAAGAGCAAAATGGTGGACATTGACACCATAAAAGACACATGGATTGCCTTCGAATTATCTTTTGGGTTTCTCCTGGAGGAACTATGCAGGGTTGTGTCAGCCGTGACTTGAGAGAGAGAGAGAGAGAGAGAGAGAGAGAGAGAGAGAGA